GGTTGAGGCCCTAGAGAATGAGGAGCAAGCATAGCCGTGGGCGGGAACTGCGGGTGCTGGGCGGGCAGGAGAGGCCAGGGCCTGGGAGGCAGTGGGCCAGGGGCAAAGGCTCTTCAGGAAAGAGGAGAGAGCCTGGGGGGACCAGATCTGGGGGTGCCTCCAGAGGCGCTGGGTGTTTGAAGGGACTTCTCCAGGGGTATGTTGGAGGCGGTGCCCTGGAGGGCGGAGGCAGAAGCACCAAGGTGGGGGAGACAAATGTTCCTGTGACTGGGGGGGTAGGGCGATGCGGATGCCTGAGGCAGCGGAAAAAAATAGACTGCAGCGCTTCTCAACCTGTGGGTCGCGACCCCTTTGGGGGTCGAACGGCCCTTTCACAGGGGTCGCTTAAGATCGTCGGAAAACACATACATAATGACATACTGTTTTTGTGATTAATCACTATGCTTTAATTATGTTCAATTTGTCACAATGAAATGGGGGGGTCACCACAGCATGAGGAGCTGTATGAAAGGGTCGCGGCATCAGTAAGGTTGAGAACCATTGGAAAAGAGGCTCCTTCAGGAGGAGGGTGCATCGAGTGACGAGTGACGGGAGCGTGTTTTTGCTGATGGTGCTTAGTTCCGGAATTGCTGTGTTCTGTTCCCTACTGGTCTGTGGCCCCTCTGAGGGCGCCGAGGGACCTAGCTCGTTTTGGCTCGTCCAGTGCCTTCCTTATTGCTCAGTTGGGTTGTGACCGTCTGAGACTAGAACCGGATCACCAGGAGCTCCTCAAGGCTTCGCCGACTGGTCTCAGGGCCCCCAGACTCCTTGGCCTAGGGCAGTGGCCAGCAAACTGCGGCTCATGAGCCACACGCGGCTCTTTGGCCCCTTGAGTGTGGCTCTTCTGCAAAATACCGACTTCTGCGCATGGGCCACGAAGTTTCAACCGCACTGTACGTGTGCGCCCGCGCGTGGTATTCTGTGGAAGAGCCACACTCCAGGGGCCAAAGAGCCGCATGTGGCTCGCGAGCCGCAGTTTGCCGGCCACTGGCCTAGGGAATGAATGGTGCCAGTCTCCCCATTGTGCAGAGAAGGAAGGCGCTGTTAACTGAGGTGGAGTTTCGAGTCTGTTCTGCAGGCATGGGGCAGACCAAGGCGTAGTCTGGGTACCTGAGACACAGACATCAGATTGACACCCTTCCAAGGCTCCCAGCTAAGAGGTCAATTTCTTCGTCGTGACCTGCCCTGGCCCGCTTCTCCCCCAGTCTTACCTCACCTACCACCCTCTCCCCCTCCATGACTAGACTCCAGCCTCCCTGGCCTCTCGCAATGCCAGACATACAGGTCCACTCCTGCCCCAGGGCCTTTGCACAGGCTGCTCTCCCAGCCTGGCATGCTTTCCTCCTGACATTCCCATGACTTGCTCCCTTCATTCCCCCTGAGGTCTATGTTCAAATGCCACATCAGAGAGACCTGCCTCGGCCTCTCTTCCAATTAAAAACTGCAGCACCTCTCAATCCTAGCATCCACCGTTCCCTGCCTTATTTCCCCCTGGGCATTTCTCATTATTTAACATACTATATAATTATTTATCTTTTTATCTGTCTCCTGGGATTGCAGCAGCACCATTCAATAGAAACATAATGCAAGCCAAATGTATAATTTAAAATTTTCTAGTAGCATCATTAAACTTTTTTTAAAACTAAAAATTAATGTTAGCCCTGACCAGGCGGTTCAGTTGGTTGAGGCATTGTCCTGTACACTGAGAAGTGGCAGGTTCTATCCTGGTCAGAAGACATACCCAGGTTTGGGGTTCAACCGATCAATGTTTCTCTCTCTCTCTCTTTCTCTCTTCCTACCTCCTTTCCTCTCTCTAAAATCAATAAACATATCTTGGGGGAGGATCCCCCCCCCATTGATTTTTAGAGAGAGTGGAAGGGAGCCAGGAGGGGGAGAGAGAGGGAGAGAGAGAAGCATCGATGTGACTGAGACACACCCATTGGTTGCATTCCAATCCCACCTCGACTGGGGGTTGGGGATTGGACCTGCAACCCAAGTACGTGCCCTTGACTGGGAATCGAACCCAGGACCCTCTGGTAACCACTGAGTCACATGGGCCAGGGCTTGGGTGAGGAATTTTTTTTAAGTAAAAATTAATGTTAAAGATATATTTTTTTCGCCCTAACTGGTTTGGCTCAGTGGATAGAGCGTCGGCCTGCGGACTGAAGGGTCCCAGGTTCGATTCCAGTCAAGGGCATGTACCTGGGTTGTGGGCACATCCCCAGTGGGGGGTGTGCAGGAGGCAGCTGATCGATGTTTCTAACTCTCTATCCCTCTCCCCTCCTCTCTGTAAAAAATCAATAAAATATATTTTAAAAAGATACATTTTTTAAATACTCAATATGTCCAAAATATTGCAGTATGTCATCAGCTAGGAATCTGGTATATATGGTATATACCTAGAACCCCGTCTCCGTTTGGATTCTCCCTTTCAAGTGCCCCGTAGCCACATGGGGCCATTTATATTTAAATTTAATTAAAGTTGAATACAATTAAAAATTTATTTCCTCAGTCCCACTTGCCGCATTTCATGTGTCCAGTGGCCACATGGTGCGGTGGCTTCGTATTGGACAGCTCAGGGCTAGAATGTAAACGCCTTATAAAGCCAGGGGTCTTTTTCCGGCATGTTCGTTGCCACATGACCAGAGTCTTGAACAGTGCCTGGCTCACAGGCTGACTTATTCTATAGTTATTGAATACATGAATGAATGAATGAATGAATGAATGAATGAATGAATGAAGAGGTGAATGAATGAACTAAGAGGTCTGTGGACCTATTATACAGAAGTATAAAAAGAGGTCTGGTGAAGAAAGACAGTAGGGACTGCCTGGGGAGGTTTGGGGAGTGGGGGGGTTGGAGCCCCACATGACCTCCATCCTCTTCTCTTCCCCTGCAGACCATGGCAGCAGTGACCATGACGGTGCCCGGGCGGAAGGCGCCCCCCAGGACGGGCCCGGTGCCCGAGGCAGCCCAGCCCTACCTGTTCACAGCCCATGGGCCAAGCTTGGGTGTCGGGCCTGGGGGCTTGGCCAACTCCCCGGAG